ACATGGGGACAGTGAGACACTGGCAGACTGGGGGCCCTGGGAGAATAGGGGGCACTGAGACACCAGGGACACTGGCTGGGAGACATGGGGACACTGTGTCCCCATGTGTCTGTGTCATAATATCTCCCAATGTCCCTTAGTGTCTCAGTGTTTGCCATAATGTCTCCCAGTGTCCCTTAGTGTCTCAGTGTCTGCCATAATGTCTCCCAGTGCCCCTTAGTGTCTCAGTGTCTGCCATAATGTCTCCCAATGTCCCTTAGTGTCTCAGTGTCTGCCATAATGTCTCACAGTGTCCCTTAATGTCTCAGTGTCTGCCATAATGTCTCCCAGTGCCCCTTAGTGTTTCAGTGTATGTCTCCTTGCAGCCTTTCTCCCCTTCCCTCACTTCCCTGAGCTGTAGGCTGTCTCTGCAGGGTGGGAGTTGCTGTCTGGACTCTCTGTAGCTGCACCCCTGCAGATCAGTGAGTATAGATAGGCAGGGAGGGATATGCTGGAACTTCCTATCCCTGCTTGTATCCACACACAAAGCGACCACTACTGGCCAGTGCTGGTATTGCATAGTGATCTCTTGTTTATACTGAGAAAAATACCAGCCTTTGCATTGCCAATATGCTGCAATAGTGGCACCAGCCAGGCAGCCTCAAATACTGGCTGTGCCAATAAAATAAAAGCCAGGTGGAATCCCTAAGAGTAGTGTGTGAAAAAAAAAAAAATGTAAAAAAAAAAAGAAATTTATTATTTATTTATTTTTAAATCAATGGGCCTATTCCATGGGCCTGGGCCTGGAGCTGCAGCTCCACCAGCCCCTATGTTAATCCGGCCCTGTATATATATATAAATATATATATATATATATATGTAATTTTATTCTAACAGTATTTTGATATATATATATATATATATATATATATATATATATTTATATCAAAATACACTTAGAATATAATGATATATATATGTATAAATAAATAAAAATAATACGAAATATACATATGTCCATATACATAACTGAGGACCTTATAGGGTCCTCAATTTAAGACAGCACCCACCCCAATATCAGAAGCATCAACTTCAAGAATATAAGGCAAATAAGGGACAGGATGCTGTAAAATAGGAGCAGAGGCAAACGCAGTCTTAAGAAATTCAAAAGCCTCAAGCACCTCTGGGGACCAGACACGAGTATTACCATGCTTTTTAGTCATACGGGTTATAGGCACTATAATAGAAGAAAAACCTTTAAAAAGCATCTATAATAGTTGGGAAAACCAAGAAAACGCTGAATGGCTTTCAGGCCCTGAGGTAGAGGCCATTCCATGACAGCAGAAAGCTTCTGGGGATCCATATGAAAACCTTTAGCAGAAATTACATAACCCAAAAAACGGACTTCGGATTGATCAAATAAACATTTTTCTAGTTACAATAAAGACCATTAACAAGAAGGGTTTTCAAAACGGTTTTAACATGCATGTGATGAGTATGTAAATCTGTGGAATATATTAATATATCGTCCAAGTATACTATCACGAATGAGTGAATGAACTCTCGTAAGACGTCATTAATAAATTCTTGAAACACTGCTGGGGCGTTACAAAGACCAAATGGCATCACAGTGTATTCGTAATGACCACTCCTAGTATTGAATGCAGTTTTCCATTCATGGCCCTTTTTTATACGTATGAGATTGTACGCACCTCTAAGGTCCAGTTTAGTAAACACAGTAGCTTGTTTAAGCCTGTCGAATAATTCCGTGATTAATGGTATAGGGTAAGCATTCTTTATGGTGATTTTATTTAGACCCCTATAATCAATACAAGGTCTTAAATCGCCCTCCTTCTTTGACACAAAGAAGAACCCTGCCCCTGCCGGAGAAGAGGATCTCCTTATAAATCCCTTTTGTAGAGATTCTTTAATATATTCCTCCATTACACGGTTTTCTTGAGGAGACAAAGGATACACCCTGCCTTTGGGAGGTATAGTGCCAGGCAATATATCAACAGCACAATCGAAGGGTCTATGAGGCGGTAATTTTTCAGCCTCCCTTTTATCGAAGACAGACTTAAGACACATGTACTGAGGAGGTATAACAATAGACAAAGGAGGAGTAGTAGGAACATTAATAGAATTTAAAGGGGTGATTTTAACGATACAAGACTCTTGGCAGGTTTCACTCCAAGATACTATTTGTCCTGACTCCCAGTCAAAAATGGGATTGTGAGAACGTAACCATGGGTACCCTAACACAATGTGAGAGGAAGGAGAGGTGATGACCTGAAACTGAATGGTTTCTGAGTGTAACATCCCTGTATACATATGCAACGGTTCAGTTTCATGTGTGATAACTGGGGAGCATAATGGTCTACCATTTATGGCCTCAACGGCCAAGGGTGTCTTCTTCTCTCTAATGGGTATGTTGTGTTTCCTAACAAATCTAGAATCTATGAAATTTTCAGCTGCCCCAGAATCAACCAGGGCTAGTATGTTTCTTGCTATGCAATTATTCTCCAGATGCAGAGAAACAGGGAGAAGTAGTCGATTAAGAGGCAATTTTGGGGACTTAGATATCACACCCAAGGCCAGTCCCCTATATGGCCTTAGGTGCGATAGTTTTCCGGAAGCACGGGACATTCTTTTAGCATATGTCCCTTCCTACCACAGTACAGGCAAAGTCCCTCCTTTCTCCTATACAATTTTTCAGCATCAGAGAGTTTGGCAACCCCTAATTGCATGGGTTCCTCCTCTGATACCTTGAAACTCTCAGGATTAGCAACTCTAGGAGTATTTAATGTAGCAAAACGTCTATTCCTATTCTTAGTATAGAGTCTATCATGAATCCTATTGTCTATATCAATAAGATAATCAATAAGGTCCTCTAATGGGATAGGAAGATCCCTAGATGCTACCTCATCCAATATAGTATCAGATAGACCTTCCATAAATGCTGTAGTTAGCCTATTGTTGGTCCAATCTACCTGCAAAGCAAGGGTACGAAACTGAACAGCATAATTAGCAACAGAACTAGAACCCTGTTTAATTCTCATTAATGCCCTGGCAGCATTCTTTGACCTTTTAGTTGTGTCAAAGGTTCTACGAAAAGCCGTAAGGAAGCTATCAAAATCATGCACCATAGGTCCATTCGCCTCCCAAATAGGATTTGCCCACTCAAGTGCTTTATTAGAAAGTTGGTGCATAAGGAATCCAACTTTAGATCTATCAGTGGGAAAGGAACGTGGATACATCTCAAAGTGAAATTCCACTTGATTAATAAATCCCCTGCATGTCTTAGCATCCCCTCCATACCTAGGTGGAGGGGTTAAATGTGCAGAAGCATTAGCCATGGTGGATACATCTGGGACAAGGGGTGCAGTAGGAGTTGGTACTGTTACCGGAGTAG